GCAGACCCCCCACCCCACACACACACACTCTCCAGGTAGATGGGGGGGGGGGAGGCTCTGAGCTAGCCACACCCACGCTGAATGGGGAGGGGAGGGAGAGGAGGGGAGAACAAGTCCTCAATTCAGGGGGTGAACAGAGAACCCCTGAGCCGGTTACATAACTCCCCCCCCCATGCGCCAGTGGAGTGCATGCAAGAGACCCCAGCTTTGCACTTATTTGTGGAATCCTTTAGGTGAAGCTCCGAGTGAGAGCTGGCATTTTGCCTCAGAAAGATTGCAGGATTGTCCGTCCTTTGTCTGAAACCCATATAGTGCAGATACTGGAGGTTGAAAAAGCCATCTCAGGCTTGTATGGATGGGATAATAAACTTCCTCTGCACACTTTTGTACAGTAGTAAATCATAATGCAGTAACAGCAGCAAAACTAATTTTTTCAGTATTACCAACTTTTCTTAAAGCCCCAGCTCCTGGAGGCATATGGGAGAATTTCGGTTTCTATTTAAAAGAAATTTCCACCCCTGCTGAGGGGAAAGAAAACAAAAAACTGGAAAATGTGAGTTCACTGAGTCTACCTAAAAGCAAATAAAAAGAACCCCCAACCTGTTTTTTTAAATCTTGCAATGTTCAAGCCATGATTTTGGGGGGCCTGATGCATGCTTTTGAAGGCGTAGGTTCGCAACACAGTTCAGACTATGACATCAGAGTATGCTAGGACCTTTTGTAAAAGAGATAGCAACAATTTACAAAATAGTGTTTGTGGATGTAAGTTTCAAAATAATATACAAAACATTATCCAAAATAATAATTTTGGATGAGAAAATGAGCCTTGGCCAGTTAGGATTATTAAAATCTCATACTTCAAAAGTACAGAGATGAAAACTCCATGCTGTGGTCAAAATTCTAACTTGAGTAGTTATTTCCTATAGTGGTACCCTGGCAGTTTTTGATTTACAGTATTCAGTATTATTCCCTTTCCCTCAAACTCTATTCTTGATGCTATGAGTTATTAAATACCTCAACAGCTGCCACATTCACTAGAGGGGACAGTATTATAGGACCAGGCAATGACCTTTATACCATTATAGCACCTTCCATTGAAGGATCTCAATGTATTTTACAAACAAGAGGAGGAGGTAAGAATTAGCCCCATTTTACAAAGAGGTTAGATTTCTTATCCAAGATTACATGGTCTGCATCCAGGCCTCCTAGTCCCCTTTACTACTGGCATGAAGGAGAGCCTTTTTTTTTTTAAACCCTTTCCTCATAGATCAGGTATTTTTAACAGTTTAGCTACATCAGGGGGGAGGGATAGCTCAGTGGTTTGAGTATTTGCCTGCTAAACCCAGGGTTCTGAGTTCAATCCTTGAGTGGGGGCGTTTAGGGATCTGGGGCAAAAATCTGTCTGGGGATTGGTCCTGCTTTGAGCAGGGGGTTGGACTAGATGACCTCCTGAGGTCCCTTCCAAACCCGATATGCTCTGATCTTTCCTAAAGTCTGGTGCCCAGAAATGGGTACAATACTCCTGCTGAGACCTAACCTCCCATGTTTTACATACAACATTCCCATTAATACACCCCACAATGAGTGTAGCCTTTTTCACAGCAGCATCACATTGACTCATTCAATTTGTGATCTACTATAACCCCCACCTCCTTTTCACCAGTACTACCACTCAGCCCATCTTGTAGTTGTGCATTTGCTTTTTCCTCCCTAGGTGAAGTACTTTGCACTTGTCTTTATTGAATTTCATCTTGTTGAATTTCATCCCAATTCTCCAACTTGTCAAGGTCATTTTGAATTCAAATCTTGTCTTCCAAAGTGTTTGCAACCCCCAACTTGGTGTCATTTGCAAATTTTATCAGCATACTCTCCACTTTATTATCCAGGTCCTTAATGAAAATACTGACTAGAACCAGACCCAGGACTGACCCCTGTGGGACCCCACTAGCTATGTTCTCCTAGTTTGACAGCAAAATATTGATAACTACTCTTTGAATATCATCTGTCACCCAGTTGTGCACCCACCTTATAGTAATTTCATATAGCCCATATTGCCTTAGTTTACTTATGAGAATATTGAAATATACAAAAATATTTCAAGCAGCAGGAAATTCAAATCCTCCAATTCTCCGTACTTACAAGAGTAGCCTGGTTTGTACTGAGACCAGCACACGGGGGTATGTCTAATTTTAGACCTGTGATTCTTGGCTTCTTACAAGTTCCTAAAGCTCCTGATGTTTGAAAGGCTACAGCTTACCTTCTCTTCCCCACATCTGGAGAACAGGAGAATTGAACCTGTATTTAGAGGGCAAGTAAGATACTCCACCTGCTTAGGGATTTTAAAATCAGATTTATCACAATAGATAAATCTTAGAAGTATGGGTGGGCCTATATGTGGAGGGTGGGATTGGGTATGGGAAGCAGAGTTAAACTGGTGTCAGAATCTCAGCTGAGATGAATTCCCTGACTCAAATACTCAATTGTGATCCCAAAAATCTTTTTTTAGTGGTGGTGGTGGTGGGGGGGGGCGTTCATTCAACTTGAACAGAATATGAATGACCCTCCCTGCATCCCCACCCTCCCCACTGTGGGAGTACTAGCAACATTTTTAATTTAATGCAAATGCATTATAGAGTTGGGGTCATCAACCCTTCATTTTGCAGTGTTCTGTCCTATCCTCAGAACTACTCATAAACTTCCTGAAAATTTAGACACAATCTCTTGGGCTGCGATGTATATTTCTTTAATAAAATACGGTTATTTCTTCCAAGATCAATACTCAATGACTAATGAAACTGGAAAGATTTAAGATATCTAGTGACTGAAGAGATGCATTAAACCGTCCTGTGACTAGTCTTACCTCCCAAAATATTAATACTGTCGTAGATTTACCCATGCCCTTACGACCCAGAGATGGGCTGTTGCCTAGTGCTCTAAATTCTAGAATCTCATTTCCCCCCGCAAGGTCTCAGCACTACCAAGTGAAAAGGGCTAGGGCACTGGTATTTCATCTATGGCAAACCAGGGCTCCTAAAGTCACTCGAAACTTGCTTGATCTCTCTGTGTAAAAAGAATGGGTACCATATGGCAATTTCTATCCAGAATGCTAGATGGGCTTATATACCGTAAGGCTGACCAAAAGATAATATGCATCCGAAGAAGTGGGCTGTAGTCCACGAAAGCTTATGCTCTAATAAATTTGTTAGTCTCTAAGGTGCCACAAGTACTCCTGTTCTTTTTGCGGATACAGACTAACACGGCTGCTACTCTGAAACAAAAGATAATAGCTTCTCTTAAGAGACAGCACTCTTGATGACGACAAGTTGCTGGAGCAGAGTGGAAATATGAGCTGGTTCGATGTACATTTTTTAACATAATAGTAGTTCTCATAGAAGATACGAGGGTTTAATAGAGGCTATACTCAAAAGGCACAAGGAGCCCACCAAAGTAAAGAAGGCAGTTAGAATGTTTCAGTTATATTTTACTCTTTTCATAGATCGTTCGTATGAATGTTCATATTACAAAATCAGCTGCCATGGCCCAAAAGTGTATGGAACTTCAGCAAAGCATTCTATTTACTCAAAAGAGCACAAACTCACATTTTCTTTAAAGAGAACTTTGTGAAATTGTATGACTTGCACCCTCTCAAGCTAAATAGGGCTAAAAGAGTAAAATTACACATAATTTTATGCTATTTTTGGCTTTAAATTACTTTTCACCAGCTGTTATAAAATGATTATATTTTGTATGTCGATCACATTACAGATTTTTGCATTCAAATCAGTGTAAAATGTCTCATGCGGTAACAAAGGCCTTTAGCACATGCTGTTTCAACAGCAGCTCATTGTTATTGCCTCAGAACAAAATTATTTACTCAAAGCATCAAACAAGAAAATGCAAGAGAAAGACACCCAGATTATTCCTCCAGAAAAACAACTGCATAAAGTAGGTTAAAAAAAACAAAATGCTTTCTAGGTAGGAAACATCTATAAAATGCAGCGCTTAGACAGCAGCGTACTTGTACAGTTGTGTCCATTTCTTCCCCCCCTACCTCCACATGCATCTCTCCCCCACCTCAAGCTTAAAATCCTGAAATAAATAACTATTTCAACAGATCAAAAAGCTATATAGCCTCTAAAAAAGTTCTCTCTTTGCTTAGGGAAAAGAGAAGTTGCACAGATATTTAATTGCAAATCTAGCCTCTTGCTGAACATTAAATAGGCAGCAGTTGCCATCAAAATGAGGGAAATATTTAAGAGGCAAATTCGTACACTAAGAGTATTCAAATCTAGAGGAACTTGCCAACTCACCATGCATTCGCTTCTGAAGAAGAAACACAAAGTACAGAATTCACATTGTATTACGCTTTCAACATTCACAACTACAGATAAGAAACAGTGCTCATGTATGCCATTCCCTGATATCTAACCGATCTACAGCTTTTATCTTTATGCCAACCATAGCATAGATTGTGCAATACTGTTTCAGTGCCCTGTGTTAAAAAAAAGTTATCTTTCTAAACTATACTGGTTTTAAATCCCTGAAATATCCATACCATATATGGAAGGCTCTATGTTTTGCACCTTTACAAGCTTGATGCAGATATAGAAACACACCAATGTTTATTGTGCAATTTCACTAAAATGGGGGGAGGCTATTTTCCTCCCCCTAAATTAAGTGGAAAAAATTACCTGTAACATTAAAAATCTCAATCAAAGCACTGATGTAAAGTTACTGGTAAAGATTAAAAGTTTTATAATCTTTTTTTGTTTTAAAAATCACAAAAGGAGTTCAAGGGATGTTGCAAGTTTTTTGATTTTTTTAAAGCATCAGAAGTAGCAAAATAATTCAACCATTGGGAAGAAAGCTGCAGAGACGAAAACCCTCTATACATATCTGTATATTGCTGTAATACCTAAATTAATTGTTAAATAGCGTGGATGCAAAGAGCATTTCTTTTAATGGCGAATAGTATTTGAAGAAGTGTAAGGTTATGAAATTAACTAGTTCTTTGTACCCTGTGAATTAAAAGTCTACACAGGGCACTGAGATCGAGTTTCCCACAACGGTTTCACATGGCTTTCACTTTTATTTGCTTCATCTTCATCTGCTTCTTCTCAAGTTTTTTCTGCTCACGCCGCAAAGCAGCTTCCTGGAGGAAAGGATACAGAGAACTGAATGAACGTCAGTACTCTCACTGAAAAAGCAAGCTGACAATTTGAGAAGGTCAAGATACCACGGCTAATTAAGGTATTGTGTTCAGGATGCAGTCTCCTCTAGACACCCAGACTGGCAAACAATTAACAAATCAATACATAAGTGAAAACCAGCTCCACTTTATGTCAGATCTCCAGCAGGCCAGAAGATAATACACTGCCATGCTTCTGGAATACCTACAAGTGAGCCTCGTAATGCATGGGAGACACTTGCTGTTAGTTCTTTAGCTGTTCTGAAAAGCCATTATACCTCCAGCCGGCGCTGTTTCTCCGGATCTTCCTCGTTCATAATTCGCTCCTTCTCTGCCCGTTTCTTCTCTTCCCGGCGGGACTGGGCAGCCTCCTGCCTTTGCACATGAGTCAGTTTAAGGAAGTTCTCTTCTACTCTGGCCCTGTTCTTATCAGCTTTTTGTTTACCCTTTCCCCCAAGAGACAGAAATAAAAACAGTTAATACAGATAAATGATTGGCACTAAGGCAAGGTTCCAACAAGTAAAAAGAGGGACAGTGTCTGGAATAGCTACACACACTAAAAATAGCTCCTCTCAGTATTTAAATGGCAGTTCTACTCTGAAAGAGTGATTCCACATGTATCGCTTCCAGATGAAACCTGTCTGGTTTACGTGTAAAAAGTGTGGTCCCCACACCTTTCTCCAATATTGGTCAGCTGTACAAACTCAGCCCAGGGCCTAAGTATGAAACTGGATTCTTTCCTCATTATTTCAACAGCAGTAAAGGTTCTGCAAGTCAAGTTAAGTCACACAAATACAGTCCCATTACACAGGCGTAATTGTCTGGTACCTAGTTCTATGGGCCTTATACAAGGAGGAAGAGAAGCCAGTTCACTCTGATGGCTGGTCTTCACTACCCACCCGGATCGGCAGTAGAAAAATCGATCTCTCGGGGATCAATTTACCGCGTCTCATCGGGACGCGATAATCGATCCCCGAATCGACGCGCGTACTCCACCAGCCCAGGTAGGAGTAAGCGCCGTCGACAGAGGAGCCGCGGCGGTCGATTTGCCGCCATCCTCACAGCGGGGTAAGTCGGATCAGATACGTCGAATTCAGCTACGCTATTTGCACAGCTGAAATCGATCCGCCCCCGTAGTGTAGATGTAGCCTCAGCTGTACTGGCTTTGCAGAGCTAACAAGTCTAAAAAGCAATTACAAAAATTGTGTTACTAAAGCAAGCAGGTCTGACTAATACATGCATGGAGCAGATCTGCTGCTGAGTAAAATGGGGCTACTTATTTTTGTTTGTTTGTTTTTTTAATATAATAACTTTTCAGAGTGGAACCACATATTAGTAAGATATGGGCAAGTATATGGTCTCTTTTACTTCAAGAAAGCTTTAAAAAGTTTAAGAGGAATTTTCCATACCAACATGCATCCCAGATATGGAGGTTTATCATCTAAAGGCAATAAATGCAAGATCTTTATATACCGCCTTTCATCTAATTACCTCTTAAAGTTATTTGCAAATACCCTTTCCTATGGCCTTTGTGTGCATTGGTTCTTGATCATCTGAACTCTTCACCTTCTCTTCAGACTGAACTACCTCTTTTATTTGCAGATACTCAACTGTAAATAACTGTTGCCATCTCTAATCACCCCTCCCTGCCTCCCATGGCCAAGTAAGACTGTGGTTGTATCGGCTTCCTTGAGTGCAATAGTTTGAATACTTTTCTTATGCAACAGGAAGCAGAGAATACCAAATCCAACTGATATTCCCCATATGATTTAAGGCAAGTGGAATGTAATCACCATAGATGTTACATTTGAATTTTAAGGCTCCTCACCTTACAAATATCAGGGGGTAGCCGTGTTAGTCTGTATCCACAAAAACAAAAAGAGTCCGATGGCACCTTAAAGGCTAACAAATTTATTTGGGCATAAGCTTTCGTGGGTAAAAAACCACTTCTTCAGATGCACCTTCTTCCCCTTACAAAAGTTACCATGGGACCTTTAACCGTAAGTAGTTTTATATCTTATCTGACAGCAACACACACAGGAGCATGTGACTTACTTCTCTATTTAGACGGAACTTTTTCGCTTTGTCAATAGAATAAATAACCATGTTCATCAAAGGCAGCAAAGCCTCCATATCCTTTGGGGAAGTGTTGCCTGAACCAGGAACTGTAAAGCAAAGACATTTTCATCAGATTAGTTCAGGAAACTGGAAAGGCTTTTGCTATTAATTAGAATGCCCTCTCCACATTGCTCAGCCTGCTTATAAAAGTCTGCGAAGAAAGATGCTCTAATCCTCCTTTTAAAAATGAGTTAATTAACAGAAGTATTTGCTTTGGAGATTAAATTCAGATACTTCAGATGGCAGCAGGCACATTTCTCTCATACTATGCTTCCAGATTGATTAAGAATACAGGCTGCAACCATGTTTTTATACAGGTATGAAATTCCTGCTTTGATCATTGCAAAATACAATTTAAAGGCCACATTTTGCCCTCTGACATGCCCACGGCTTCCTCTGTAGTCAATGGGAAGTTTGTGTATGCATTTGAAGGAAAAAATTGGTCTTTGCTGAAAATAACTGGAATCCCTGTAGGTTTGTTTTTAATTTAAAGGGCGCTAAAGCCTGGCAGCCCTGACAGCTTCTATTAATCCAAAAAAACAAGCACAGGACAGATAGCAACAGGCGCAACCATAAGCTATCCCTCCCTGTCCCAATGCTGACCTACTGGGATCACCATTAGGGATGACATTCAATTCTTGACTTTTGGCAAGTTGGTTGTTTGGCCATCATCGCCACTTGTGGTGATGGCTTGTGGGATATGGACATCTGCCCACAAGACGTGGACAGAAAACAAATTTCTTCCCCCAATACCATAAAACTGCAATCAGGCCAGAATGACTTTTGATCATTATTGACCTGGGCTGAATTTGTACTGGTAACCTAGAGAACCAAAGCTCCATTATCAATGCAATATACCACCCAGTCCCTTACTGTGCATTATTGCATCCCTTTCACTTGTTACTCAGGGATCCTGTACCTTTATCTACTTGCATTTAAGTCACTAGAAATACTGTCTACTATCCCAAAAGTGGCATGGCTTGAGCACTGTGATCAGACTTTTAACAGATAAATTATCAGAAACCTTTCCTTACCATTAAATGTAAACAATAGTGTCCTTTTAGTGTCGGGCAGTTTTAAAGGCTGACCCTCCCTGGCAGAAGAGAGGAAATAAAGGTGTAGTTGGAATAAGAGAACACAAAATATGGACATAACATTGTACTGTGTATTTCTTAACACACACTAGATACTGCTAGAATACTCAGACAAGTATGTCAGTCTATACATTGTCTGCTACTCTGTTATAATAGCTATTAAAAGATGTCTAGTTTCATACATACTCTTGCATAAGTTTTGGACCGGAGAACTGGTCTGAAAAATGGACGGATTCAATCTTGTCAGCGTAGTGTGTGAGGAAATGTACCATCTGAAAGAGAAATGGAGATTAGTTTTTCATATAACCAAATCATCTCCAACCCGTCCCCTGAAATGGTTTGCTTATATTGTCTCTGCGTCCTGCTTTTTGACAATTCTTGTGCTCAAGTTACCAGCTTGATTTAGTGACTCTTGCTAGAGAAGAGCTCCATGCAGATAAACTACATCCCTGTCCTGGGCGAATGTTAGCAACGCAAGGATGTAAAATGGAGAGTTCTCATTTGGGGCATGACATTTCATCCAATGCTCAGCCACAACTCTGAAGGCGTATACTGAAGGTCTTTAACACTACACCACTTTGGCAACGCTGCTCTGCCTACGTCAGCATGACAAATGACAGCTTAAGTCCCAAGTTTACAATGGATACGCTAATATATAAAAGTTAATACAGATGTTTGCTCCATTGACAACTGTATCTATTTTCTGTCTCTTGCATTTGCTTTGGGAGCTTTGTTTCTTAGGATTCTCTAAGGGAGAGAACGATGTGGTGTTCAATTCCCTGCTGTATCATCTGTGAGAGATTCCACACTGAACTCCAGCCTTAAAATGGCCAAGTCCATCAAGAAAAGGCCTGAGAGTTTCTACTTGTTCTTTCAAAGTTACCTTTGTGTCCATCATTCCCTCTGTGATCTCTCCCATCTCTGACAGGATAGCCAGCGACTCTGGAAGCCCATACTTTGCCCCAGACTTGGGTTTGTCACTGCAGAACTCACTCTGTTGGAAGGAGAAGAGGAAAAAAAAAAGTGTCTCTCTTTTATTGGGTTCGAACAGTGCCTAGCACAATGGGGATCCTGGCCAGTACTGAAATACAAATAAACATGATTTACTGTTTCTTAATTCCATCTGACTGAGGACAGACATTTTCAGCATGAAGTACACTCCCACAACACTGTAACACTCCAGATACTAACATATATATTGTATTCTTAATTTAGTATATTTTTTTAAGTTTTCAGAGGGTACTTGCAATTGATTTTTACAGATGAGATGAAAATTGACTGTAGGGATATGCTGACATGAATATATCAGGGAACTGATGCATCTTACATTGGTTTTGGCAATATAGCAAAGCCTGTACAATGAAGTGAGCAGCAAAACTGACCCACACCTTGCCAATTTCACTTTGCTGCTGCTGTTTGGGGAAGTTACAAGCAGCAGCGGTGGCTCTAGAGTAGTCTACAGAGTTGGTCACATCAGGAAAGATTCGTTGAAAGTATCAAGACTTGAAAGTGGATTTTTTTTAAGGAGGGGATTGTTCGTGAAAATTTAAATTCTGCAGAAATTGATGGCTTAGGCTCGCTAACTTGCCAGAGAAAGTTCCCCAGTCATCACTAGTGAGTAGATTTTTCAAAATCGGACAAAGTAATTGGTGCTGGGTTAAGAGAGATCAAGCAAAAAATTTAGAGCACCTGTCGACATATCTAAAACTCGATTTCAAGAGACCCCTTGTAAAGGTGACAAAGAAGTTCCCTTTCCCTTCTGCTAAAATTGCAACACTTCAATCTCCCTGGACACTCAATAACAGACTTAAAAGTGGCAATGCTTCAACAAAAAAACTTCAAAAACAGACTCCAATGAGAAACTGCAGAACTGGAATTAATTTGCAAACTGGACACCATCAAATTAGGCTTGAATAAAGACTGGGAGTGGATGGGTCACTACAAAAAGTAATTTTCCCTCTGCTGATACTCACACCTTCTTGTCAACAGTTGGAAATGGGCGACGTCCACCTTGACTGCATTGGCCTCGTTAGCACTACAAAAGTAATTTTCCCTCCCTTGATATTCACCCCTTCTTGTCAACTGTTGAGAACAGGCACTTCCACCTTAATTGAATTGGCCTCGTTAGCACTGACCCCCATCTTTTCATGTGCTATAATATATACACCTCTACCTCGATATAACGAGACCCGATATAACACGAATTCTGATATAACGCGGTAAAGCAATGCTCCGGGGGGTGGGGGGCGGGGCTGTGCACTCCAGCGGATCAAAGCAAGTTCAATATAACGCAGTTTCACCTATAACACAGTAAGATTTTTTGGCTCCCGAGGACAGCGTTCTATCAAGGTAGAGGTGTATTCTGATTACTGTATTTTTCACTCCATGCATCTGATGAAGTGGTTATGCCCAAATAAATTTGTTAGTCTCTCTAAGGTGCCACAAGGACTCCTTGTTGTTTTTGCCAATACAGAAGCAAATGAGTGCCAGTTGCTTTAGGATGTGGATACTTGTCCACTGGGAACAGGACTGAGAATGCACTTCCCAAATTAATTCTTCTAGGCCACTTAGCCTTCGGCTGGTAACAACTTTCAGTTATTCCGAACTGGCCCTGAACTTGAACAAGCAACCTAGAGATGAAAGCCTTTATACCCCATTCCCAATCGCCTGAACTATCCATTTCCTTCCAACTTGAACACACACATACCAGGTCCTGCATTTCCTTCTGAAGTCGCACTAAGGCTTTTCTTGTTCCAACAGCAAACACATAGGTATCCATATCTTCATCATTCATTGTTACTTTTATTTGCTGAGAAAAAGAGAGACAGCAGTAGTGACTGGATTTATACTATTATTAATTATTTGTATTATCATAGCACCTAGGAGCCATAATCACAGACTAGGACCCTGATAATAGACTCCCCCAGCCATGGAGCACTTGCAATGGACCGATCCAACTCTTATTGTGGAACAAATGTTCTCACTACAAAGTTAGCTGTACCTTTCCTTTTGAAATATCTAAAAGAAAATCTCAGTCCAGCTACTATATTCAGGTGTTATTTCAACATGGATAAAGCTATTTTGTTTATGTCTGGACTTAATGGCTTCTTTTCTCACTCCTAAAACCATACGGTAAGTGTCTAACACAATTAGAAAGCGGAGTTCCCAATCTCAGGGTTTATTGGCAATGGGCAACATAGCAGAGCTTTAGGAGAACTCAGTTCGAGAGCATACTAGATAGCCAATAGCAGACTGTTTGCATGCATTTGCCACTTCTAAACAAGATAGAATAAAGAAAACACCAACAATATAAAAACTAAACTATAACAGAAAATATATGAAAAAGTAAAACCTCATAAGTACTAGCAGAGCATCTCTCCCTCCCCAAAATTTTCCTTACAGCATGCCTAATGGATACTGTGTGGATACTGGCATTTATACTATGAGTATATAGGCTCCCATTGTCCCTAACACTAACAGCTGCTAGACACCAATTAGCTTTACAAGATGCACAATACCGGGCAGATAACAGATTACCCAGTGTGATTAGGCTGCACTCATAAAAGGGTTCAAAAGACAGAACAATTGTTCAAGACTGCAAGTCACAAAAGGAGGGATAGCTCAGTGGTTTGAGCATTGACCTGCTAGACCCAAGGTTGAGAGTTCAATCCTTGAGGGGGCCATTTAGGGACTTGGGGATTTAGTGGGGGATTGGTCCTACTTTGAGCAGGGGGTTGGACTAGATGACCTCCTGAGGTCCCTTTCAACTCTAAGAATCTATGATTCCAGTCCAAAAGCAAGTTTTGTCAAGATGAAGTCAAAGTGTGACGGACTTGGTTCACAAAACCACATGAACAGTAAAACCCAGAAAGACACAAACAATTCACCAGTCATCAGAAGTCTGGTGCATCATAAAAGAGAAAAAGAACGTGAATGGTGTTTGCAGATCATTTCACAGAGTTACTTTGTTTGAAGGAAGATGGAAGAAAGCTGCATTTCTCTCTGAAGCCACCATCTGGCTAGTTGTGGGAAAGACCAAAAGCTCAGTGGAGTTGAAGGAATGTAACAGGAACTATGCACAGTAAATCTAAAGAATTGAGTGCATACCACTTGGTCACAGGCTGGCCTCATCATACGAGCAAGTACATTCAGAAGGTCTTGCCTCTTGAGAAACTGAAAGAGAGAATGTTTTAGTACAGTAGACAGTGCTGCAGTTTTTGCATATTTAGCAATTTACTGGAATGTAGTAGCATCTACAGGCACGCTAAGGTCTTGTCTGCATACACAAAGATTCACTAGATTAACTTAAATTTGCTTAGTTAAACTGGTGCCACTTTGTGTGCTGACTGTTGGTTTAAAACTGGTTATATCAGTTTAGCCTGTGCCAGTTTAACTAACTGGTATAAATATCACAGCTTTAGTTAAACGGGCACCACTTTGTGCAGAGACCAGGTCTTAGGCCTAGTCTTCACTTACCGGCTGGTCCGGCGGCACGCCATCGATGTTCTGGGATCGGTTTATCGCGTCTGGTTAAGACGCGATAAATCGATCCCGGATCGATCCCGGAAGTGCTCACAGTCGGTGCCGGTACTCCAGCTCGCCGAGAGGAGTACGCGGCGTTGACGGGGGGGAGACTTCCGGCCGCGTCTGGACCGCGGTAAGTCCGGACTAAGGTACTTCGAATTCAGCTACGTTATTAACATAGCTGAATTTGCGTACCTTAGTCCGAAGTCCGGACTAAGTGGGGACCAGCCCTTAGAAACCTACAACGCTTTCCATTCTGCATTTGCTCCAGTGATCACAAAAAGCATGTATATAGCACTACATATATGAATCAAATATTCAGCTTTTTGATATGGAAGACATCGGAGTTACTTCATTTCTCATTGGAATCTGTTTCTAGAATACTAAGAGCTCCTTCTGCTAAGATGGAAGTAAATGGACATTAAGATGAATAAATGAAGTTGTCAAAGTTGCGAAGGGACTGATAATTTGGGACTGGCTACACTGTAGTGTCTGATAGGAAGTTTGTGGAGGTAGTAGTTAGAAGTTCAAAGGTTAAAAGAAAAAATAGGATTTTCAGCCTAAATGGTCATGACAGGCAAAGGCAATTAAAATGGAAAATTTTAAATATCCAGTTTATTTTTGACCATTTTAAGCTATTTTTTTGGACCATTTTCATTCTCCAAGCTAAATGCAGATGCTGCAAATACTTACTACTGGAGCACAGCCTGGTGCTTATTATTAGTCTCATGGTTTCATTTTTTGGTTCTCAGGTGCTAGTTCAAATCTGTAGTGTTCAGCTTGTAAACAGTGCAGGGAAATATTTACATCCAAGCACAAAACTTTCCATTGAAATGGGGGGGGAGGGGAAATCATGGAAATATTTCTATTGATCTTAGGTTGGATTGCTTTGCCAAGCTAATAAGAAAAAGACAAGTTCTCCCCCCTCCAGGTGATGAGCATTCCACTGGTTCAAAACCCAGGACTTGATATATTCAGTGACCAAAAGAAGCACTAAAAGGACCACCGACAGTTTTACAGTCCAATCTCTTATCCACCATCATGACCAGGAACAATTGCCCCACAGCACCGGACAGTGGGAGTTCTCCACTATCCAGAAGTATGAAGTACTCATTGGTACTCTTCTCAAATCATGACAGATTGGATCTTAAAATGATAGTATAATAATAAAAGTGACTATGTAAAAAATGGCCACTACTCATTCAGCATATCTGCTTCCTGTGTGTATTCGGAATCCAGTCTGCTGACCTGAATGATAAAAAGAAAAAGCCATACCGAGGCCTCTAGCTACCCAACCTGGGGATAGAGAGAGAGCGCACCTGGCCAAAATTTGAACTTCCACATGTTAGTTAGTGGAACAATACTGCAAGATTCCCCCACCCTTACCTTTAGCTGGATAAGCATTCCCTCACAGCACACTCTGCCAGAGCACCATAAGTTGTATATGTGTTCGTTTTCTTGGTTGAGCTTCCCTGTGCTTGTGGGTTCTTTATTTGTGCCATCATCCCCTGAAAGTAAGACTATATTAGTTAATAAAAGGAAGTGTGAGCTAATGGTCAGTGACAAGTAGTGAAATGACATCATTTGGATTAGAATTCAGGTATTCCTGGGTTATTCTATTGGACTAAAGTGCCATCTTAATGTTCTCTTATGCAACTTATTCTACACCATTATGGTCACTGCATTTAGATCGCATTTCAGCATTGGAGGGGTGGTATATTACTTCAATGCATGCACAACTGCCATTAATTTCAACAAGTGCTGCCAGAGAAAAGGTTATTCCTCTTCCCAGCCCATTCTCATCAATCATATAAGCCAGTCACATTCAAAGCAGCGAACAGTTGGGCATAGCAACTGCAAAAACTTACCAACAAGGGCAAAGTTACTTTCCAGCAACTCCCTGTGAGTGTTGAACCAGGCCTGAGCTAGCCGGTTGTTTTTATTCTTCCCAATGATGTAGTTCATGATGTACGCAAGAAGACCAGTTACCATTAAGATCTCCATGTAGTAACTCTCCCAACTGTTTTGAAGATGTGCAGGGACCTGTGGTGAGTGAATGAAGTAATTTTATTACTGGATGTAATGGATTCTGCACAATCATTTGTTTTGGAACATGTAAGTTACCAGAGAAGCTTCATCCCTGAATGACAGCGATAAGCTTCGCTAAAGCTATGCTACAGAGTTGAGCCTACTTAGGGCCAACTTTGTTACTGACACATGGCTTATTTTGTACTAGCAGCAATCATGCTGGAAGATAGTTGATACAGTATTCTTTGACCTTAGGCTCCAAGCATTCACACTCTAAATACTACTGCACTAATATTTGTACAAAATATGCCTTGTGTTGTACCATATGAAAGCTAACAGCACTCTAGTTATTAATAGAATTGTAAAGTGCTATAATGTTATATGTGAAGTTACGAATTCCCTCTGTATGATGATTCTAAAATGTGTTTGAACCAGACAAGTCTGGGGAATAGGTAAACAGGTTTTTCCCCCCAAAGAAAAAGCCTCAATCCCGGTGCAATCATAGACAATTGGCAATCACAGTCAAGTGACCCTCCATTGGCATACTGGAAGCTGAAGGGGCAGATCAATTTACATTGCAGAAAGTACCTCTGGGCAAGAAACCAGCATGGAAAGTTCTCCATCAGACTCTGTGGCACTTTTCCTCACAGGAGGGGCACTGAACTTTGAGAGGGATACATTTTCACCGGACTATAAAAGAGAGCGGGGCAAAGAACCCCAAATTATCTTTCAACTCAGACGACAAAGGAATGGAGCACTGTGTATTTTGTGGGAGATCCTGACCAAGGTGATGGTCAGCTATCTTGCTGGAAGGAAGTGTGGTAAAAACCTTACCTTGAACCAAGACTGTAGCCTGTTAAGTTTTAGTCACAGAAAGCGTTTTTACTTTTGTTTGTAACCATATCTGACATTATCCCTTATATCTGACCTCATGTAAAATCTCTCTCTGATTAAATAAACCTCTTTTACTTTTATTCTAAATCTACCAAGTACTATGTTGGACTTGAAGTGATTATTAACTCCAGTTAAAGCAACAAGCTGCTATGCTTTGGTCTCTTTAGAGAAGCAACGGACCTTATTACTCCTTTGAATATTCCAGAAGAGGGCTGGACATTTCCGGGCACACAGTTTTGGGATCATTTGGCTAGTAGTAACCAAAGCTAGTGGAGACCAGAGCATGACTTTGGTATAACAAGCAGGCTGCTGCTATCAGAGTTGTTGAACAAGAACTGCTCAACACACAGATACTCAGTGCATGCTTGTACACTGGCTGGAAGCGTCTAGACAGGGAGCTACAGAAGCAGACCATTTTAAGGCACACAGGATTACAGGACAAGCAGTGACAACCTCTCGCTGGTCTGAATTGCGCCCTAGAACATAGCATATGCCCAACACAGTTTATACTGATACCGGATCACTGACCAGTGTGGAGAAAAGAGTGCTTTTCCAAGAGCCAAACTGTGCTAACGAATAATCTCCAGTGTAGTCAGCCTAGCACCTCATCACAATTGTAACACACTTCTGTTCAGGTTCTGACACCATGCCCATCACTGCATTATCTGAGCACCACAAAAGGTGTGACTGAAAGATGCATTACAACTGTGTTGTGACCAACTTTTGAAAGTGTTTTCAGAACACAGTTAGGAGCCATAGTGCAAATAGTGACCAAAATTTAATAGGAAGATCCTGCTGTCTCTCTGTGGAGTTCTCTTTTTGAAGTCATTAGAGGTTGGTTATTAGTTTTACTGCCAAGATATTGCCCCTCAGAAAAAAGAGATGATGAGGTATTTCCCACTGACACATTTGATTACACCATTTTAGAAAAATGTAACTCTGCCCTTTTTGTCTCTGAACTGCTTTGTAAAAGCCTCAGGGGTTTTTTGGCATCAAGAGGACTAAATATTGTATATTTCAAATCTGCACTGTTCAACCCCAGCTACACTTAAAACACCCAACAATTTAAATACAGTTGTTATAACCATCATAACATGTTCTTTTGTTGCCTGTGTAATCAAGATACACAAATGTGTTAGCGAATCATGTTTTAGCTGTGGTACACTAACTAAAACATGATTTGTTACTATGGTTATAGCATGTTTTCTCTCTCTAACGTAAGGATAAACCATATTCAAAGATGCATTGGCCAAAACCCATGTTTAAAACACGGTTACTTTTGTTGCAGAGACATTTACTGATCATGGGCATAATATTAAGGACATCTGTATTCCCACGTGATGATAAACTAGACCAGAATATGACGCCAATTCAGTTTGAGTGCACAAGAGTGGGAAGTACTAGCAGTTTTACATAGTTGTTTACACATTAAGGAACAAGCCATGTATAGTTGAATACATCAGTTTCAAATGTCATATTATAAATCTGTGACAATCAGCACAATCCAGTGAGCACAGGAATGGGACTCAGGAGACCCAATTCCAATTCTGGTACTAAGCTGCTATGTGATGTTGGACATGTCATGTCTCTGAGCAGTTTCCTTTCCCACCCTTTGTCTTGTCAATTCAGGTTGTAATTTGTTCAGGACAAAAGACTACCTTTAATTATGTCTGTACAGTAGCTAGAACAAGGCGGCCTTGTTCTCTGCAGGACCCTTTAGGGACTACCATACTACAAACAAATCATAAAGTGCCGAATGGAAAGACACTCTGACATTTATACCTACATCAACAATTGTTATGGGGTCCTTGCTTTTGCTGGGAGATGCATCTGTTTTCTCTTCATAGCCTTCAAATTCCTCATCATCATATGGCTCACTCTCAGTATCTCCTTCCTAAGGGATAAGAGCACAAACAGTCTAAACATCTCAAGCCTGGTAAGCACGTGGCAAATATGACAGATGTGGGACAGAAAATAAAGGGATATGCATCATCCCTCTAAAGCCGCAGTCTCTTTTACAATGTTACAGCTGAGACTGTAAAGTTAAGATCAATGAAAATCGCCTGGGTATTAGTGTGTTTTTTTTTAATTTGGAACATTTCTGCAATAATATGTTTATGCACAATTTTATGAAGATTTAACAGCCATTTTCTTACATGCATCAAGTGCCTTACAATCCCAAGGATATCAAAGTGCTTTATTAACCAATACCCAAATGATTCTCAAAAGACGGTTTTATTTATCACTGAAATGCACCTACCTCTGCAGTGGATCATAGCAAGCTCTCAACAGGACACAGCAAAGCATTACAAAGTTTATGATGGGAAGAGAAGATGACTACATGCTGAAACTGTATGGGACATTTAGGGTGATTATATATTGCCTCCCAAGTTGGACCAGGATGCAGAAGTTAACATCTTTACTTCTACAGAAGTGCCATGGGATCTTTAATGAATGCAACTAGTTGGATCTCCATTTTACAATTCACTAGGAAGATGTTATATCCAGCAGCAGAGCTCTCCCTAGCACCACAGTGGGTTCACTACCGACTCTAAAGGAAGAGTACCACTATCTGAATATCTTGGGTGCTCCTTCGAAAAATTCCATCTAAATATTGACCCAACCAGACCCCGCATAGCTTGAAGATCTGATGGGATCACAGCATAAGTACTGCACTGGGGTATAGTACAAGAACAATCATGGATCCTGGTTTGATAACTGAAAGGGCATTTCAAACGAGAGGCTAAGAGGGGCAACGGCATGAATTTGACATTACCTGTGCATCTGCATCATCAAAGTCCTCCTGATTTTCATCGTGACCTTCAAGCTCTACAGTGGCCTCCTCCTCATCATCTTCTGTGGTTATGATCCTCTGGGGAGAGTCTGTGGTTACATCTTCAGTAACATCTTCAAACTCAGCAAAGTCATTATCATCGTACTCCACAATGTCATCTCCATCCTCAAATTCATCAAACTTGGCCAAAGAAAAGCCCCATGAGGCAAACAAAACAGCAATGAAGATCCACAAGCTCCTCATTGTCACTAAAAAAAAAATTCAAATACAAAACACTCAGGTTAGAAGGGGTTATTTAGTTCGCTTAGGGTCCTAATGCATTAAACATCCGCCCGATTACGGGAATGCAGAAGGAGGGTACAATTATAAGACATCATCTAATCAATTTTTGAGCTCAGGCTCCCTAAAAGGCAAAGTGGGGGGTGGATTGTGAAAATATATCTAACGATTAGCACAAGAGACAGAGACAGGACTCCTGGGTTCTTTCCCAGCTCTATCAAAGATTTGGGGACAAGTTACTTAGTTTACAGATGGGTGAACTGAGGCTTAGAGAAGGTACCTCATATTATACTTACATCACATAGAGGTTTGTCTGTAAAATGCTTTGAGATCCTGGCATGAAATACACTACAGAACTGCCAAATCTTAATTTAAGAGGCTTCAGCCCCAAGGAAAGAGATACATTCTCATACTCCTATTCCTCCCCACAACTAAGAGGAGTTCTAGAGATTTTTTTTTTCCAGCTTTTCTTAAAAAAAATAAATAATAATCATGCAATTCTTTCTCTACTCAAGTTTTCCAACATGCAACTCACTCCTCTCAGGTTTGAGACAGGGGTCTTTGCAGTTCAGGACAAATGACACTGACATCCTAGTCCCTATATAGTAAAGGCACTTTAAAAGTATACAATAGATCACATTAGCAACCTACCATGAGCCTGAAGGCTACATCCAATTTACATGGCATGTAGCAGACCCTCTCGCTTAATATGGAAGTGCAGACTGCAGAGATTCCCTCCCATACAATCATAGCAAGCAACTAGGACTGACAGAGCACTGAATTCTGAGAACTGGTCCCACAGACCAGTCTGGCTACTCCTGCTAAAGTCTCTCACCAACTATTCAAAGAGGAGGCAACTTTCCTTTTTACCTTCATATATACATATGTACACACAGACACACACAGGTCCTCAGACAAAAGGTTGGATAATGGAATGGAGGATGTACAGATGCCTGACCCATGTATGCATGCTTCTGGTTCCTTTATCAAGTGTTTGCTTAACACCCAAGTATGGGCTTCCCCTCTGCATTGGTACAGTACATCATTTATATACACACCTGATAAAGAAATAAAAATAGTTGTACAAATAATGCCTAGCCAATTGGGAAGCATAGTCTGACCTTAATCAAGACAGTTTGCTTACTAACAGTGGTGACTTATACTGAAAAACCTTCCTGCACCAGATTCCTGATCTAAAAGACACAGCAAGGGAGTGCGCACATTAAAATTAAATAATAGTGAAATCAACATAGCCTATTGCAGCTACAGGTGGAGTATTTGCTACTGTTTATTTAGTAAATATGCCTACCATAGTGTCCTTGGGAACATATACAATATGTAAGTTAGATATCTATCACTTTACCCATGTCAGGATAAAAAGATGGACTAAGTTACCAACTCTGTACTCCTAATAAGACACTCTCTCTCCAACAGCAACAGAGAGTCCTGTGGCACCTTTAAGACTAATAGATGTATTGGAGCATAAGCTTTCGTGGGTGAATGCCCACTTCGTTGGATGCATCCGACGAAGTGGGCATTCACCCATGAAAGCTTATGCTCCAATACATCTGTTAAAGGTGCCACAGGACTCTCTGTTGCACAGATCCAGACTAACACGGCTACCCCTCTGATACTCTCTCCAACAGTATCACCCATCAAATGTCCGAGTGACCAACTCTCTCCATTTTTTGTTCATTTTAAAGAACATAAGAGACTGCACCTGCGATGGTTATTACCTATGTAGTCAGGTCACTAAATGGAAAAATTAGGTAGCAATAGCACCATCAATATCACAAAATACACTTGATCTAATCATTTGAAACAGCAAAGCAGCAATCGTGTTGTTACTTTCAAACAACATATTCTCAATCATTCTAAGATGTGCGTTCAGGAATGGGTCCTGCTGAGCAGTTTCTGCTTTTATTCGGGACCCATTTCTTATGTGTTGAACAAAGAAAATTGGGAAGAGTATGGCTGTTTCACTGGGAGGCAGTGTGGGCCACTGAATAGGAGACTGGACTGGGACACAGGAAACTTGAGATTTGGTCCCAGCTCTGCCGCTAGCCTATGGTGTGACCATGGACAAGTCACTTCACTTTAAATTTCCCTGGTCTCCACTTTGTTTTGTCTACTGATCATAAACTCTTAAAATAGTACAGTGCCTAGCATAATGAGGTCTCAACTGGGGCCTGTAAGAGCAATGCTAAGTCAACCACAGCACTTCACAGACACTTGTGGAGGATTACCACCAAGTTTGATGGAAGCAAAGCTCATCTTTCTCATTCTCACTGTGGTGCTGACTTGAATGTTGACTTTTGTTTTAGTTACCCGAAACTAACAGAAACCATTTTTTGTTACCTTAATGTGATATACCTTTGAGTACTACACCTCTACCCCAATATAACGCGACCCAATATAACATGAATTTGGATATAATGCGGTAAAGCAGCGCTCTGGGGAGCCGGGCCTGCGCACTCTGGTGGATCAAAGCAAGTTCGATATAACGCGGTTTCACCTATAACACAGTAAGATTTTTTGGCTCCCGAGGACAGCATTATATCGGGGTAGAGGTGTACTTGCATGGCCCCAGAGCATCCAAACTATTTTAGAGAGATAACAAATGAGTCCCTTTTTTGAAGGCCTTCCACTCTAGATAGACAGCCTAAATAAGAAGTGTACAAGAGTGTGCATGAGCAAGATACAATGCAGCTAGATAAAGCACTGAAGTTTAGAATATTCCTTAGGAGTTCCACAAATTTTATGTGAATTGAATGAAAATAGTGATACTACTTATGAAGAGAGAACTAGCATTATTACGGGTAAAAAGATCAACTAAGTCGGGCTATATGATCAAAGGAACATCTCCCATTCCTCTGGAATAAGGAATTCTGAGACTACTAAAGCATATCCAATTACCAAGTACCCTGCCACTTCTGTAAAGTCATATGAAAAATGGATTATGACTGCAATTCCCAAGAGGTATCTAACTAACAGACTTGGGTGCCACAGTGAATATATTTGCAGCAATGGAGGCCTAAGCAAAAAACTGCTTGAAGCACCGTACTTCATAGTGGGTCCTGTGTGGTCACCACAATTCACGTGGTGCAAGAACAGAGTTGGCAGTTAACTCACAGCTTCCACAACTGAAAAAATGACTCATAGCAATGCCCTGCCCCACAGGGCACAAAGCCACGGTGCTATCTGGAATTTAGGACCTTATATGATGGGGTGGCACTGTTTCTTGTAGGGAGCGCAAGTTTCCAGGATCTCGTGACAAGTCCTTAAAGACACACAGTCAAGGTTAGAGTACCTAAAATTAGCTGTGCCCTAGTTCTTGGGTGCACACCACACTCTTCCACCCTACTCCACCTGTCAGCTCTGTTCTTGGGAGCAGACAGGGTCCCGAAAGACATTCGTGTCTCACCCCAATGGAGCAGACCAGCAGAGCCAGGCTCCACGTGCTCAGGGCACGCCCACCAGGGCTCAGAACCACAGCGCCCTTGGGGGGGAGGGGGTGTCACTGCCACACACGGCCCAGCAAGAGAAATTAGGAGTTTGGAAGTCAGCATCATTGGAAAGGGGGGGGAGAGAGAGAGATTTTGCCAGAGCAGTGTTTTTGCAACCCAGTACTGGGTCACGGCATGTAAGGCACTGGGTCACTTTGCCCTAGTCAGCATCGCTGACTGGGATGTTAAAAATCTCATTGGTGGTGCTGCCCAGCTGAGGCAGACTAGTGCCTACCTTTTCCGACACTGCGCTGCACCCCGGAAGCAGCCAACAGTGGGTCCGGCTTCTAGGCAGGGGGGCCACAGGGCTCCACGAGCTGCCCCCACCCTTAGCACTGGCTCCACACTCCCATTGGCTGGAAACCGGACTAATGGGAGTGGGGGGCAGTACCTGCAGATGAGAGTTACACGAAGCCGCTTGTGCGCCTCCACCTACGAGCTGGACCTGTTGCTGGCCGCTTCCGGGGCGTAGCGCGGTCCGCGGTGCCAGAACAGGCAGGAAGCCTGCCTTTGCACCCCAGCTGTGCCGCTGACCGGGAGCCGCCGGAAGTAACCCCACGCCCCAATCCCCTGCCCTGAGCCCCCACCAAACCCAGAATCCCTTCCTGCACCCCAAATCCCCCACTCCAGAGCCTGCACCCCCAGCCCAAACCCCTTCCCACACCCCAATCCCCTGCCCCAGCCCTAAGCCCCCCCCGAAACCCAGAGCCCCCTCCTACACCCCAAATCCCTCATCCCCAGCCCAGAGCCCTAACCCCCTCCTACACCCCAACCCCCTGCCCAGAGCCCTGACCCCCTCCTACACCCCAACCCCCTGCCCCAGTCCTGACCCCCTCCTACACCCAACCCCCTGCCCCAGTCCTGACCCCCCCAAACCCAGAGCCCCTCCTGCACCCCAAACCCCTCATCCCCAGTCCCAAGCCTGCCCCCCCAGCCCAGAGCCCTGACCCCCCTCCTGCACCCCGACCCCCTGCCACAGCCCAAAGCCCCCTCTTGCACCCTGAACCCCTCATTCCCGGCTCCACCCCGCTGCCCTCACCCCAGCCCTGAGCCCCTCCCACACCCCAAGCCCCTCCTCCTCAGCTCCGCTGGGTCGCGGGCATCAACCATTTCCTTCAACTGGCTCCGCAGAAGGGAAGTTTGAAAAGCGCCGCTGCGGGGGGTCAGGGAGGCGAGCGCCACGTGGGGCCTGTCAACCCCGCCTCTCGGGGGAGGCCGTGCCAGGGAGGGGGGGGGGCCCAGAGCCGCTCCGGGGTCAACCCCCAGGGCCGCTTCCCAGCACGGGGCGGGAAGGGGCTCCCAGGCGGTTCCACGCCCCGCCGCCTTTACCTGAGTCCGGCCGGCGCGCCCGCCCGCCACCTAGGCCCAGCTCCCCAGCGCAAGCTGCGCCCCCTGCGCGCTTTGCGTAGGTGAGCGCAGGCGCAGTGCGAGCAGGGAGGCGGGGTTCCGGCTCTGCTGCCGCTCCCAGGCGGCCCGCGGGAACAGCTGCCTCGCGCTGAGTTCCGGGCCTGCGGGCGGGGGGCTCCTGCTCACGCCCCACCACGTGCGCTACAACCGGCCGCCCTTTCCGGTTGCCCGGCAACACCGGAGGTCACGTCGCAGCCCCGTGACATCCGTGCGCACGCCAGTCCCCACGCTCGGGAGTCCCCTGGCACTGTGACGTCACGTCAAAGCAGGGCTGCGATGTAAGGGAACGCGGTGACATCCCACGGCATGGCCCAGCCATAATTAATAATAATAAATGGAGATATCCCATCTCCTAGAACTGGAAGGGACCTTGAAAGGTCATTGAGTCCAGCCCCCTGCCTCCACTAGTAGGACCAAGTACTGATTTTGCCCCAGATTCCCAAGTGGCCCCCTCAAGGATTGAACTCACCACCCTGGGTTTAGCAGGCCAATGCTCAAACCACTGAGCTATCCCTCCCTGATGCAGCATCATTGTCGCCATGGCACTTCGAAACACCACCAGGCTGCATGGAAGCATCGCCACATGGTGACGCAGCATCACAGCCAGGTGACGTTTCATAGGCCCCAAACTGACTTTGTAGCACAAGAACTGACATACTGGTGGGTCAGACCGTTGGTCCAGCCAGGGTGACCAGATGTCCTGATTTTATAGGGACAGTCCCGATTTGTGGGTCTTTTTCTTATATAGGCTCCTATTACTCCCCACCCCCTGTCCCGATTTTTCACATTTGCTGTCTAGTCACCCTAGGTCCAGCTAGCCTGCTATCTTGGCTCTGACACTGGCCAGTGCCAGATGCATCACAGGGAATGAACAGAACAGGGCAATTGCGTGTGATGCATCCCCTGTCATCCAGGACCAGCTTCTGGGAGTTGGAGGTTTAGGGACATTTGGAGCATGGGGGTGCATCCCTGACCATTGATAATAATAATCATCGCTAATAGCCATTGATGAACCTATCTTCCATGCATGTATTTAATTCTTTTGTGAATCCAGTTATACTTTTGGCATTCATGACATCCCCTGGCAATGAGTTCCACAGGTTGACTGTGAGTTGTGTGAAGAAGTACTTCCTTTGGTTTGTTTTAAACCTGCTGCCTAAAATTAAAAAATAAATAATTTTATTAAGTGACCCCTTAGGTCTTGTGTTATGTGAAGGGGAAATAACACTTCCCTATTCACTTTCTCCATACCGTTTATGATTCTATAGGCCTTTTATTGTAACCCCCCCTTAGTCATTGCTGAAGATCCTTGGGGGACCCCACTATTTACCTCTCTTCATTGTGAAAACTGACCCTTTATTTCCCTTATTGACCTTTGTTTCCTATCTTGTAACCAGTTACTAATTCCTGAGAGGACCTTCCCTCTTATCTCATAGAATCATTGGACTGACAGGGACCTTGAGAGGTCATCTAGTCCAGTCCCCTGCACTCATGGCAGGACTAAGTATTATCTAGAGCATTCCTGACAGTTGTTTGTCTAACCTGCTTTTAAAAATCTCCAATGACGGAGATTCCACAACCTCCCTAAGCAATTTATTTCAGTGCTTAACCACCCTGACAGGAAATTTTTCCTAATGTCCAACCTAAACCTCCCTTGCTGCAATTTAAGCCCCTTGCTTCTTGTCCTATCCTCAGAGGTTAAGAAAAACAATTTTTCTCCCTCCTCCTTGTAACAATCTTTTGACTCGTGACTGCTTAGTTAGGCTTTCTGAAAGTCCAAACATACTATATCAACTGGATCACCCTTGTCCACATGCTTGTTGACTCCCTCATTGATCAGGGAATGTGATATATCCCCAAGGAGAAGTATGATGACACCCACCAGCAGCAAAGATAGGTGGTAGCCTTACCATGCAGAATCCTGCTCATCATTTATTAAAATCTCTCACAGTTACATTTTCTGTTGAGATTAATTAGGTAAAGTTTGTAAAAACACTTCGAAAATCTATAGGACAGCATAATAAATCACTATGATTTTAATCTATTTTCACTGGTTTGTGTGGTACAGCCAGGCAGAATTTATTCCTGCAACATAATTGCTCCTCATCCCTCCTATTTTTGGTCAGGAGAGTCTTTGTGTGTGTAGAGATCCTAATCTGACTGTAACAGCTAGGTGTTATTTTTTATTGTTATTATAATTCATTATTTATTAATGTTGTTGGCTTGCCCTGCAATAATCAGATCAGGCCATAAAGGGAAGTTAATATTATTATTATTTAAGTCAAGGCTAAATGATAGAGAGTCTTGTGGGTTCTCCTACTCTCATTATTTAAAAAACAACAGTATTCAGTATTGCCTGCCTGTCAAATATCATGAGTCAGGCCTCAAAAAAATCAAGATTTTTTTTTTAATCACTGTTGTGTCTTTTTATTTGCCTTCTAGTTTTAAGCCGTTAGGATTCACATTTCTTTGCAATCATGGGGGAAACGAACTTCTATAAAACAAAAGCTGAGATTCTCACATATTTAGAAAACAACGAGGAGTCCGGTGGCACGTTAAAGACTAACAGATTTATTTGGGCATAAGCTTTCGTGGGTAAAAAACCCACTTCTTCAGATGCATGGAGAAGTGGGTTTTTTTACTCACAAAAGCTTATGCCCAAATAAATCTGTTAGGCTTTAAGGTGCCACCGGACTCCTCGTTGTTTCTGTGGATCCAGAATAGCACAGCTAACCCTCTGATACTTGGTCAAGTATTTACGTAATTTCAGGATCTGGGGCTGTGAGAAAAATGCTAACTCTCATGACACTCAAGATCAATTGAGATTTGGACACACTCTGTTACTGCGTTAGGGCAGTAAAGGCAGCAGCAAGCCTCCCAGCATGGTGCCACAGACTCAGGCTCCTGCTAGAGCTCTAAACATAGCTGTATAGACAGGACTGTGAAGTTGCAACTGAGGCTAAGCTCAAGCTCTAAAGCCCACTCCCTTCCCTAGGCTGTGGAGCCAAAACGGCCATGTCTACATGGCTATTTTAGCACGGTAGTCAGCCTGGGCTAGGAGGCTCCCTGCCACAGGCTGTGACGACATACCCTAACACCACTGCAAATTAGCATAAGACTACTACCGACTGGGACAATTGTTGTAGACTAGTCCTGCTTTTATATATAAGTAGGGTTACCATATTTAACAAATAAAAAAAGACGTAGCCTTCACGTAGCCCTGGCCCCGCCCATTTCCCAACCCCACCCCTTCCCCGTCCCAACCCCGCCCTAGCTCCGCCCCCTCCTCCCTCCCACTCCCAGCCACGTGAAAAGGGCTGCCAGAGCGCTACCGGCTTCACGGTTTGCCAGGCAGCCCCCAGACCCTGCGCCCCCGGCCGGCGCTTCCCCAGTGCAGCTGGAGCCCGGGAGGGGAAGTGCCCAGCCGGGGGCGCAGGGTCTGGAGGCTGGCTGGCAAAACGGCAAGGC